GGCGGCCTCTCGCCACGTGTGAGCAGGGTGAGCTCAGGGTCGAAGGACGCGGGGAGCGCAGCTGCTCTTCTCCAGCGCCGCCAAAGGCGGAGCGCCCCTTCCCTCGCTTTGTCTTACAGTGTTGTCCCTTGTGACTTACGCGAGAGCACGCTGTTTCTTTTCCTCTGTGAAGAGTAAGAGGCAAGTCTTCTTCCAGGCCGTGTAATTATACGTGGGACAAGCTGTGGAGATGGGGCGTCAAGGAGGAAGGGAGAGACGAGGCTGGGCAACGCAGTAGTTTACTCCAAGTAACTAAGCAGTTGGATTCGGCGCTTTCTTGCCCTTGTCCATCAGACCTGGCTGGGTCAGTTATCAGGAGGAGTAGCTTAATTTCGTTTATGTGTTTTCCTCTCTTCCGTCACACCATGGAGTGCCTGCCCTGGCCGCACTCCCGTTCCTGTTCTGAGTACGCTAATACCTCGTTGGTGCCTTGCAGGAAGTTTTGAGGCACAGCTTTTCCTTAAGATGAGTGTACTGGTTTTGTACAAATCAGTCATTAAAGCAGGAAATAGAGAGAAAGTGAAAGTGTGGGGTAATGATGTCACATGTCTGTCTTTCTGTGACTTTGTAGGACCCAAGGAGTATGATAGGGTTGAATCAGAGCGTTACAGTGTTCTCTTTTTAGTTTTGGGAGAGCTAAGCTTTCTTTCCAGTGGTGGTTAAATGCAGCTTAGGAGCTGGGAAATTTTTTTGTCTGGAGCATTCATCTTCAGGACATGGAAGTGCATAAGGCTCAACCCTGAACGTGCCAGAGCTGCATAAATTTTTTAGCTCTTTTTATGCACTGATTTTTCTAAAAGATGATGTTAGTTATAGCATTCTCTCTTTTAGGTAGGCTAGTTGTTTCTGTAGTTCCGTCAATTACTTTTGTTAAGGATATTTACCTTGTGCAGTTGATAGGTACGTAAAAGGCTTTGAGTCGTGTTTACCTTTCATATTTTATATAGTTAGGATGCTGTCAGAACTACATGAAGACTTAAGTTATTTTATTTTAGGGATTATTTTATTGTCAGCACGTTCTCAAACTGCGTGTGAATGGGAAAGGTTTGCTCATGATTTCTGATCCTTGACGAGATTAGATTTTGATTTCCATCACGTTCTATTTCTATGTCTGCAAAATATAAAGTTGGGAATGGTTTGAGATGCTTTAGCTTTCGTTTATGGAAAATGACTTACTGTAATTATAATTACAATTGTTAAATATAAATAATAAAACAAATAATAAAAACAAATATTTATATTTTATAGATTACAACCATGTAGTTAAAGAGGAGTTTAGATCTCTTTCCTCCAAGGATATGATTATTTGCTTTATTTCTTGCAGCATGTGTAAAACCTGGTGAGGAACCAGTTCAGTTAGGTAGGAAAGGGATATGGTGCTTTTACTGTTTAGTGCTGTCACCTTACAAACTGTTCTGATAGTAGCTGATATCTCTGTTAGATGTGAAGTGCAAAGGCACAAATAGCTGAGAGCTTGATATTCATCTAGTTAAATATCCAAGTCATGTTATAGACAAATTTTTGCATAAAATCTAAGAATCTAAAAGCGTCAGGCACGCACACTCAGTCTTATGAGATTGAGTGTGTGAGTAGCAATGTAGTGCTACTCAAAGGAGGAAGTTTTTCTGTCCTGTTTTCACACTTGGCTTGTTATTAGTTCTGGTGGTCCCTGTGAGTCAGTGTGACTCAGAGGTGGAGTGACAGAAAAGCAGCTCACTCAGAAAAGCTAAACAGTTTTCTACCATTCTAGATAGGTCCTTTGCTAAACAAATTTATCTAGTGAGCTCCAGAGCTGGCTCAGGAGGAGTAGTAGGAAGAAAAGAGCAACGGAAAGGGGAAAGTAAAATCTCCTAGAGGGGAGGTCTTAGCTCTCCCCAAATAGGCAGATTACTGCTACTTATCCCCTTTGCACCAACACTGAGGCTTATCAAACCTGTAGTTGATTTGTTTGAGTAACCTGATAGAAAACCAACTCAGAGCGCAAAAAAAAAAAAAAAAAGTTTTCTGTTGTTTTTAGTGATTAAAGTAAAACTGATCTTTAAATACTAGAGTAGGTGGGAGGAATAGAGTTGGAGTAGAACTTGTGAAGGAAGGAACAGGGAACCCAGAAGAGATATGCTCTATGGTTACCAACAGAGCTACAAATTTAGTCTTAGATAGACTTTTGTACCTTGTGCCGTTTCAGCTGATTTTTTTTGTTTTCCTCTAATGGAAGCAGCATTTCATAAAATAGTTTGTTGCAAGAAGTAGTGTTCGCAAAATGCATGCATGATTTGATGAGGGAGTAGCAGCACTTGCTAGGATTGTATTTCTGGAAAGAACTTGGAAAAGTGCTTTATACAGTGTTATTTTCCGACTTTAGCAGCTGATCTTTTTCCACAAGTGTTACCTTTTTGCTTCCAGTTATACTCTGCTAAGTTTTCATGCGTAAAAGGAGTCACATGGGATCATTTAGGGATCTTGCTGACGACTTTAATGTTCAGGCTAGATTAAGTATGATTAAAAAAGAATTATACTTAGAGAAATAGATGTTTGATAGAGAATATGTTCACAGAAACAGCATTTATGTCTTTCATTGTTCTCAGGTTGCAGTCTAATCTGTGTTTTATATTGGGATAAGACTGAAGAGTACATTACAATTTGTACCTTTCTGTCCGCTAATTTCATCCCTAAGATGAGACTAAGATTTTAGATTAAATATTATTTGGAGTATGAGTTTAGACATCCTAATGAGTACAAGTGATGCTCTAGAACAAAAGTGTAAAGTAGGGATAACATTTATGAACTGAAATTACATGTGGAAGCGTATAATCTCTTTTCAGTGTTCATCTTAAGTAACTGTTCGATGTTGTTTCTTCCACTGAACAATTAACTTCTGGAAATAAACCTTTTAAAGAAATACTGACTTGATATATGGACAATGTCTAGATTCACTCTCTGGGTCCCAATATGGTATTTTTGACCATGAATGAATGGTCAATGAAATACAAATCACTGTTATCAATTCCAGCGAATATTGAAGAAGTTCTGGTTATGACTGTGGGGAGAAAAAAACAAACAAACCTGTTTTAAGAGAGAGTAGAGTGAGTAAGCAACAACAAGGATTAATCCAACATTTAGCACAAGAACTGGGTAAATGACTCTCTATGCTATCTGTAATATGTTTACATATGCTTGTAAGAGTTGCTTTAGCACTGAACGTGTCAAGTCACTTCAGATGCAGTTTTGAGTCTTTCATTACAATAGTGGTTACAGAGAAGATGTGAATCTGTTAATTTCTTTAGAGATGTGAAAGAACAAGCATTCACCTTCAAGTAGAGTTTTCATCAGAATGTTGTAAGGCCTTGAATCTTCCCGGAAGGTTCTAATTACCATCCCCGAAATGTAGAGTACCCAAAAGATGGTTGGGCTACTTGTTATGCCTATGTAATTCTAGAGACACTCAGGATATGTTGCTTATGTGGTCAGAGCCGGCATGGTATGCAGTGGGTACAGAGGCAGCTGTTAATGTAAATAAGGTTTCAAATTATATTGAATTCTCAGATTGAAGTCAGTACTCTGAAGTGCATCTGCAACTATAATAGTGAAGAAGATGGCTAGGTTTTAGATTTTCTTCTCTGACGCCTTCTCACCTGGACAGCAATTCTTGCCTCATTGAAAAATGAAAGGAAATTTAAGCATGACTTTCCATGACCATCTGGAGTGGATTTCAGATAGCCCAGCCTTGACATACTGTCATGACGCTACAATAGCCAAAGTATAAACTCCACTTTTACTCTACAGTAGTCTTAAAATGATGTACCTGTTAACAAAGGTACACACCTTACATTGGTAAGTATTTACAAAGGTGCAAGAACATACCAGGTCAAATCTTGAATGGATGCCTGTTGTAAGATCTGAATGATAGGGGTGTGAGGTGGACAAATCCTCAGTTATCTTGAAACTCGGTCTGTCATATGAAATACTGTTACCCGTTTGTCCATGATTTTAAACTGTTAGGCAGGATGCATACATACACCATCAGTAGATTGGATAATTACAAATAACTTTTCCTGCCTGCTAAGAAGTGGTATTATAAGTTTTGTTAGTGTGTTATTAGACCTGCAGTAAAAAACATTTGTTTCTAATGGCCATGTATACATAATTAACAGGAGTGATAATCAATCGAAATTTCGTAGAAGCACAGTAAGGCTGTTTGGTGTGGCTAAGCAGTTATGCAGAACATCAAAGGACTAGTTGCATTAATTGCCAAGGTCTATTCTTGAATTAGTGAGACCTTATAGCCTGCAGTCAGATTGATGTAGATCAGATCTTAAGTTAGTTGACTTTATTCCTTTCTCGGATCGGTTTTTATTCCCTAAACATGTTCCTCTGCAACTTTTCCTGTAGTGTTTTTCCTAATGCTGGAGAACAAGAGAGTAGCAGGAGAATGAAGAGGAAAAGTGAGACTGCACACCTTGAATGCAGGATCACATTTGGGCCTGTGGATAAGAATTTGAATTAAGGCATAGATTGAGATCAGGAGTGAGACTGGGGAAATCATGAAAATGATTTTGGA